TACGTAAAACCCATGCTCATGTTAGACCTACCAAGTGGCAGGAAAATCAGTGACGTGTACCATATCCAAAATGACAAGATCCCTTGTATTAAAAGCCAAATCTGAAGAAAACAATATAATAAAATCCCTTAATTTCCTAAAACAACCAAAGAAAATAAGATCATCATAATTTATTTAATTAAATATTTAAATGAGATTATCTATACTTCTTATTGAATACTTGGGTTCACTTTCCGTTTGGATTGCGTAGAGTTTGAAGACACTCTAGTCTCCACGTCCCACTATCTATCTATGAAATGTTACATGCTCGACATTTATCGGTTGAATAAAGAGTTGAGTGAGCGGTCAAAATTCCAACAGTAAAAATATCGCAATGTATGATGTACACCGGTGCAGAAAACTCTCTCTCTTCAGAACCCAAAGAAAGAAATGGTGTGACTGTGTCAGTGGCGAACAGCAAACTAGCTCGGCCACCACCATGGCACTATCTCAGGAAGGACATTAGCTTCTGCACGTGCTCACGTGATCTCTTCCAGTATATACAAGTAACAATGAATCATAACATAAATACGGCTCTAGGGTTTTGCATGAGGCGTACAGTTAATATGAGCACCCCAAATTTCCATGTAAACAATAATATGTTCTTTAATTTTCCGCCTTTAATTAATTCACCAGTCTTTGTAATTAGCTAAACTAATCAAATTAATCTCTCCCAGCCACTTAGTACTACAGTTTAGTAGTATTTCTCTTCACTTGTAAGTGAAAGATCTTAGTTCGATTCTCGTCAAATGCTAATTTGAACCACATTATTTTGGCTCGCCCATTATGAGGTTTAGTCCACTCTCCCACCTTTTAGTATTGATAATATTATTTGTTAAAAAAAAATCTTTTCCATCTCTAGGGGGTGCCCGAATTAACAAATCCTCCTATTCCTATGCAGTTTTCTAATTTTATTTTAATTATGAATATTATTTTATGGAATGCAAGGCAACCCTGATCACGTGGTCCCTTTGACCAGTCGATGTCTCCAGCTCATTCACTGCATCTGCATATCCACTAAGCAGTCAAACCTCGGTCAACGATGACAATGCATGCCAACCCCCTCTGGATTCTGGCCTCCACTGCGCCTCTCTGTGTCACTGTGACTGTGCGGGACTAGAATTCTCTCAATCTCTCTTTCTATCTCTTTCAATTCCATTCTCACACATTCTTTATTTTGTTTTTTTTTTTTATATAAAAAATTAATATAAGATGTTGACATAGCTTAACCGTGACTGTTCAAATAAGAGGGATGAAAGAAAAGGAAAAAAAAGAAGGGAGAGAATCCTGCTCTGTGCCCCAAAATTTGCATTGCCATGGCATTTATATTTCAACATTCAAAACATATTTTTTTTCTTCTTCCACCTCTTTAATTCACCAAAATAAAAAGACTTCTTTTTTATTTTTGTTTTTTTATACCAATGATTTTCTAATTCAGATGGATCGAAATTGCAAAGAATAAAATTCGAACTTCAGATACATAAAAATTACATATCGTCATACATTCTCTAATTAAAGTAGCTATGTCCACGTTTGATTGTTTATGTTTTATAAACTTAAATGAGTGTTTTCTTCACTCTCCTCTTCACCTCTTGTAGGAGGTCAAGAAGTGAGATACCTATTCTACATTGAACTAATATAAACTGTATGAAGACTGTAATGATAACTTGGTTGCATTGGAAGGATTACATTTGGTCTAGCAAGCCAATGTGACTACGTTCATGTCTATTTGTTTTTGTTTTTCAAATTTAAAGGAGAAAAAAGAACATTGATGGTGTTGCTTCCTTCCAGCAATGGATTCAAACTGAAAACATCCCCACAAACTGTGGCTGGCCCCAAGTTTGTGAGTACTCAATTTGGCCATTTATGCACTGTCCTCCCTCTCCCATGCGTTCTGATTTTTGAGGCTCGCATCTTTCTTGGCCCCAGTTTTCAGTCACCTTTTTCACAATTTTGCCATCTCAGCAAAACCTGCGTCCATGCTTTGCATTATCAATACTGCATACCCATTTTTGTGAAATCCCTGATCCTGCCAGCCTTTGCTTCCAAGAACATCACATCCAAATCAAGAAAAAAGATATGTTGATAAATTAATTTTTCTAATTAATTAAGGTCATCTCCAACTGAAGGGTCTAGAGGGTCCGAAAATAGTCCGAAAACCGTTTCCAACCGAGGGCTAGGCCAGAGGGCTCGTGGGTCCCACGGAATCTGAAAGGGCCAAAGGGCTAGAGGGCTGGCCCCTTCCAGTCAGCCAGCCAGCCCCGGGCTGGCCAGAATTTTACTTAAAACTGTTGGATTTCCTATCAGATATAACCGACAGGAATAATTTTGTTTATCGCAATAGTGTCGATTATAACCGACACGAATAGTAACAACTACACATGAATAATTTTGATTAATTGCAATGGTGTCGGTTATAACCAACACGAATAGTATGAAAATTTTGAATACAATGGCTAGCTTAGTCAGTTAGCTGTTGTATTCAATTTTTTTTTTTTTTTTTTATGAATTTAAAGCTTTTTTTTTTTCTATTTTTTTCTATAACTTCCTATAACTTCTATTTTACAAAATTGGTTTCATATTTTTTTTTAAATTCTATTTTTTTCCTATAACTTCTATTTTACAAAATTTGGTTCAAATCCAACGGCTAGCTGACGTCACTTAGCCGTTGGATTTGAATTTAAGTTGTAGTTTTTAAGTAATAAATTATGTTTGGCCCTTTGGCTCTCTGTTGGAGACGATTTTTTGTGACAAGGCTAAAACGAGCCCTATGGCCCTTTGGCCCTCGGTTGGAGATGGAGGCAAATATGGTCATGTTCATTAAAATATTAATATCTTGGAGGGCTAGAGGGCTAAAACGAGTCATCTGACCAGTCCTCGGTTAGAGATAGCCTAACAAGGCTCATACAGTTAACCTACACCAGAGTGCAGCATATCATTATCCCTCTTTTTTTACTGTTTAAAATCTTCTACCCTTCAAAATTTTGATCACCTTCTGATCAGCCTGTACAATTTGTACATGTACTTTGTACATTTGATGTGGTCCATCACATAAACTAATCTATTTAATTGTTTAACCCAAAGGAAATTTTCTAAGAATCTTCATGAGATATAGTATTTTAGTAATATTCATATATTATATATACATAAGCATGAACACATCCAATATTATAAGATTACATCGTGTAGTAAATTTTGATTAGTACTGTATTAACATACTAATTTAATCTTCGTGAAACTAGGGTTTGATATGAATCATATGATTCTTTTTACCCAATTCCAAGGTACTGAAATAAAAAGGAAAAACGAGATTATATTCACATCTCAAATTACTTTTTTCATAACTTTTTAGTTTTTTAATTTTTTTTGTCAAATTTTAGTGATTTGTAGAAAATATTAAAAATTAAAAAAATATGAAAGAAGTAAATTGAAGTGTGAATATAATCTTTCAAATGAAAAAAAAGAGTAAATGGTGTGCTTCTTGGCAGCTTCACCCATATCCAAGGAAAGCAGTGAAGATATTGGAGACCGTACTCCCCCCTCAAGATTTAATTGGTCACCATTCAATGCCCCCAATTTATCATGTCATGACAAAACCCATCACATCAGGAATGCATGCATAAAAATGTGCACATGTATTTTCTGAAAATAATAATAATTCTAAATTCATAAAAAATCACCACATATATTAGATATAAATACACACATATGCATGTTGGGTTTTTGAATTGTATTTACTAAGGGTTGTTTTGAAATCTGATGGCAGCCTGCTTAGACATGTACAACCCATCAGAGCATAAGTTTGCTCCTCCTCTTCCTCCTCCTCCAATGAGCCCAAGAATCTCCTTCTCCAATGACTTTGCAGATGCCATCCACCATGAAATCCGGAGAGAGGTGGCGGCTGCTCCGCCTGCTGTCTCCTCGGATTTTGAGTTCTCTGTTTCCAACTACTCCATGATGAGCGCTGACGAGCTCTTCTTCAAGGGCAGGCTGCTGCCCTTCAAGGACGGCTGCAGCAGCCAGACGCGGAGGAGCACCACCACTCTCAGAGATGAGCTGCTTCATGGGGAGGATCATGACGATGAAGTTTCGTCATCCAGGCCGCCGAAGGGTTCGTCGTCAACAAGGTGGAAGGGGCTCCTGGGAAGGAAGAGTAGGTCCCACATTGTTTCCAAGAAAGCTGAGAAGAGTGATGGAGATGGCAGAAGGTCTGAACTTGCGGTGGTTCATGAGGAAGCTCAGCATCATGTTAATAATAAGACTTCACAGGTGAGAAAATATTAAACTAGATTAAATTAATTACACCCAATTCGTTTTTAATTTTGAGTTTAATATAGCAAACGTGGATTAGGTTAGTTGGCCGATGACATTGGGTTAGGTCAATGAGCTCCAATAGTTTAGAATATCGTTTTGTCGAAGAAAAAAGACTTGAGCTTTATATGACATGGTGGTGGTATTATTTTTTGTTGCAGGAGGTGTTGAATGAAGGAGGGTCAAGTTGGAGAGATGTGTGGTGATGAAGTTGTAGAGGTGTGGCCCTGTGGGGAGTACTTTTTGAATTTCCATTTTTTTTTACCATTTGGAGGCTTAGAGAAATTAAGGAGGATGAATATTGTTACTCTTGTATTTTGACCGCTGGTTTTTTGGTTAAGTTAGAGAGGTGGTGGTTTCTTTTAGTGAGTGGTCGGTTTTAATTAGGGCTCTCCAATATTTCTGGTGTACTTTAATTTCAAAGTTTATATCTGTTTAGTTTATCTGGATTGGGTTTGGTATTTTTGGCTCTTCATTGTACAAAAATGTTTGCAGTGGAAGAACCTGTATGCAATCAAATGTCACTCCGACACCTTAATTTGTTTGAACATTTTGAAGTATTATTGTTACCAAACCATCGTAATTGTCTTCCAAGTAATTAAGCTGTACTCAGTTTTTTTTTTTTTTTTTTTTTTTTTTTTTGGTGTCAAACGATAAATTTATTAGATTAAGGAGCCGATGTTCCAACCCACACTGTAATGTAAGGATAACACTCACCAAACTCATCTCCACCGCTGTGGTAGATAACTACTTGCAATTTAGCTGTACTCTTGGATCAACCCTCCATCTTTCCAGAACTTAGGCAACAAAGTATAATTATGGAGAAATGATTTTTGCACTTTCTATTTTCTCAAACTGTACTTCGTCCCTTAATCATGACAGTGTCCCTGAATTTGTAATCGAGTTTTACTTTAACGCTTCAATTTAGTTTTCAAAATCTATGGTACTTGGTGTCCCACTTTCGCTCAGTGTGTCATATCTTTCATTGGTTTCGACAATTTTATCACATCGTAATTGACTAAGAGCATTTCCAACGAATTTGTTAAATTTTTGCTAGTTTAGCATATGAACAATGTCGAAAAATTACTTTAACCAGTCTTCTTAACTTTCATCTCCAACAACATTATGTTTTAACAAACTTTGAATATTTTATTTATTAACAATCATTTCAAAAAGAAAAAATCTAACTCACGTACTCATCTAAAATTGAATTGAATGACCAAAGTAAAATATGGGTACAAACTCAAGGACCATTGTCGTAATTAATCGTGGCAATGGAATTATAACGAAGTTAAGCATTGTTTTTCAGTTTTATTTAAAAAAATATAATTGAAAACTGAAACAAAATAGTTATCAAACAGCTTTTAACTTATTAAAGTTAGTCAACAAAAGTTGAAGGTTTGGATGAATGGAGAGGTTTCAGCGCAGATTGGATAGGTGCAACACAGTAGTAACAGGCAGAGTGCTATAAATGTTACAGCCAAGCCACGGCTATCGAACCTTACGTATACATATAATCTCGTATCGACAGATCTGGAGAGTGTCACATGCAAAAGCACTAAAGGAGTGGACAAACCAGAAGGGGTTACAAGATTCATAGTCAAAATCTCAAAGATCCTCCACTGCAGGACTAGACCGAAGCGAAGGCATTAAAGCTTGCACCTATCCCTACTCAGAAGGACTTACATGAAAAGTGTTTATTATCACTGTAGCGTCGTGAGCCACTAGTACAAAGTCATGTGTAAGACTATCTAGATGAAATGAAAATACACTTTCTACTCCGACTTGTTTTGGTTGATAAATACTTCCTAAAGAAACATACAGGAAATACCAAAATCAGTCGAGCTTATCTTGGCGTGCTCGTGAGATCCACAAAGCAGGAACGATCAAAATCAGCTACGCACCACATGGAGACTAATCCTAGTACTCCTCTAAACACAATTATATCCCAAATCCCAAGTCAAAAATGCATATTGTGATGAATCTCTTTCTCCTCATTGAGGATATGTACCTAGTTGCTAGTCGTTTTACCACCACCATACAAAGCAGAATCAGCCATCTTTTGGGTCACAGATATAAACTGGAAATAAGTACATTGAAATGAACACAAAAAAGGAAGTGGAATTTATATTCACAATAGCATATTTACCAAGGAGCAGTAACCTCTTCCTGGAACCTGAGCTTGTTGATTTCAGCTTTCGATCTCAGGCTCTCAATGGCAGCACCAAATTCATCGCACGCCTCCATCAGTTCCTCCAGCTTCATCTCGATATTTCTTATTCCTATTCCTGCCTGAGATCGCTCAATTCTAGCTTCTTTATACATCTTTGCCTCCACGGCAGCTTCCGAGTCGTTGGCAAGGTTTGCAAGCCGGCATACCCGTTCACGTAAAAATCCAACATTCATGCCCAACAACTCAAAGGCTGTTAAATACTTGTCCCAAGACACAAAATCATCTCGAAGCGCAGTGACCTTGCAAGCTTTAATGGAATCAGCAATATTTACAGTTTCAGATATGGCTCCGATAATCAAATTATGATTCATGCCCTTGATAACATTTTCATGAAGAAATGCTTTCTGGCTGCGACAGAGCTTGTAGTACTTTCTTCGTACATCTTCGGGGAACTCAGGATCTAGAAACAACCCATCTACTAGAATGTTGAAATTCTCATAACTTCGGATGTCCTCAAATTGAAGAGTTGCAGCAGGTGACTTGAGATCTTCTGAAACTTCAGAACCAACCTCCTCACTATTGGTTTCAGATTGTTTGACTTGCTGCAAACCAATCTTTTTCTTCTTTGGAACTACTAATTGAGGAGAATGTGCGCGTTTCCTATTAGAGTCATTCCAAGGGGTAGTGCTTGTTTCTGCATGTTTCTTGGTAGAGTCATTACAAGGCGTAGTGCTCATTTCTGCATTATCTTTATCTGAGTGCAACATCCAAGAGAAATGGTAGAAACATCAATGTATGCACATGTAAATATAGCATGATTTCCTAAAAAAGTAATATCATAAATGCATGATGCTAGGAAGAAACAAACAGAGAGATTGATGAACTTGCCTGCATCCTTTTGTTTTGTATTATTATCCAAATTTGGAAGGCCAAGATCCCCATCAACTTCAGCCAAACCATTTGACCTTATTATGTAAACCTACAAGATGTGGGAAGATACGATTATACATAGGAAACTTCCTTCATGACACGACAAGGTGGAAGTTCAAATAAAGCACCAGTGTTGGTCCCAAGGGATAGGTTTAAGGCAATTGAATCAAGAGATAGACCAACTTAGTCATGCACTAAATGTAGCAGCCTATAATGCTCTTGTGACTTTCGGTATAAAAGATTTGAAACATTACCTTAAATTTTGTAGGTTCAACTAATTGGAAGGCCAGAACATCTCCCTCGAGCAAATTGTGCGAAGCAGCAAACTGCCTCCAACCAGCGCTTAGTCCGGTCTTGCATGCAATGTATTTCGACTGATACTGTCTACCACTTTCATCTTCCAAAGTCATTGTAATATCTTTATCTGGTAAGTGTGATTTGCAGAACAGCGAAGGAAGCCCCTTTTACACAGAACACAAAAACAAAATATAGGGCAGAAAACGACAAGGATGTTAACATGTATACACAACTTCTGTTATAACTAATGTTTTTGCTTTCATCTACTGTAACAGAATTTACCATCCAAAAACAACTAGCCACGTGTGATCTGACCAGTGATTTCACAAAGCTGGGGAATTGAGGTTCTAGTTTTGATCGAACTTCCTGTGCTCGAATGACAGCAGATGACTTTGCTTGACCTCGTGAGAGTGATCCATCAACTGGAAAATCATACTGCGTATTGCTTTTAAAAAAATCAGAAAGACAGCATTGTCATGAATCAAATATACAAATACAAACAAAGAGGGAAAAAAATACACAAAAACTGTACAAGATCTTTCACTGACCTAATGGCCAGGGACTTCCCTGCATGACTCAACATCTGCTGTTCAAGAATTTTTAAAAGCTTTCAGGAACAATGCCATTTCATCCATACAACAAACTTATTCATAATACAAGAGGTTACAAATCAAGACAGTCAAATGCAATCGCAAAAGAAGAAACATATGAACTAAATGCATTGCACCAATTCTGCTAATCCATAACAACATTGCCTTCTCACCCACTACTCCTATTAACTTTCTGATCAATCAAAGCCTCTATATGCTCGAAAAACAGGTGAGGCACGAAAAAGAAACGATTTTTCAATGAATTTGTATAATTTAAATGGCTAATCCATTCTATATGTTAGTGTGGAAAGTACATTGTATCGAAAAACAGGTGAAGCACGAGAAAGAAACGATTTTTCAATCTTCTTGTGTAATTTAAAGCCTACCCCATGATGCCAAATCACAAACTAATCCACAAATTTTGTGAACAGAGGTATCAAAATTAAGAAATCCAAAGGTTTAATTTAAGTTTCGAAAAAAAATAAAAAGGGGGGAGTCATACCTTTGTAATTTGGGTATTAGAAAGCTCCTTCACAGGCATGGAATACTCCACTTCTTGCTCGTTTGGCTTCCCTGGCTTCTTCAACTTCCCCTATTCCACAATGCACCAAAAACCCACATCAATTTCAATGGAAAAAAAAAACACACACGCACACATAGAGAGAGAGAGAGAGAGAGAGAGAGAGAGAGAGAGAGAGAGAGAGAGACCGTGGGGAGAGAAGAATGTTTAGGGTTGGTGGCGGGCTTGGGGCGGAGCCTGGGTTTGGGCAATGGAGGCGGAGTCAGGTGGCCGTCCTCCTTGGACAGCGGCGTTTGGGGCTTGGCGTTCTTAACATTCCGAGCCATGGTGAAATAACGCCGGGTAGGTGTTTGTGTTTATACCTGAATCATTTTCTGGTTCGAACAAACCCAAACCAGCCAGATACCATGAGGCTGACTTCCTGCCACCTCCCCTCCTCCCCTCCTCCCTCCTTCTTCCTTTCCTTCTCCTTTTTTCAAAAAATAAAATCATAAAAAATCGTTTTTTCTTTTTTTGTTAATTTAACTTTTTGGGTTTTTCATTTTTGTTGTGATATGTTTGTGAGAGGAGTGAGCTTTCACCGTTATTTTTTGTTTAGAAATGATACGTTTTTTATATATTTATTTTTTAAAGATAATTTTAAGAAGATTAAATTTTTAAATTCAATGATATGATTGTTGATAATTGAATTATTAGTTAAGTATTTATTAACGTGTTTATTTCATACTGGTGACATATCATTTGATTTGCAAATTTGACCTCTAGCATTATACAAACGAGACTAACATATGTTAGATAGTTCTACCTCTATTTAAAAAATGAGTTTAATTACACATACACCCCTTAAAGTTTTTTGTGTTTTTACAAAACCCCTCAGATTTTGAACATATCACCAACACCACATGACGTTTTAAAATCACTTCACAAAACTTATTTCATTAGAGTTCCGTTAGTTTTATGCCGTTATCTGCATACAATAATTTTGAAATGACAAAATTAACCTTTTATAGCTATTTCAGTTAAGAATATGATATTCCATTTGTAACCAAACACTCCAATTTACCAATCTCCTCTGTCTTATTTGCTCTCTTCTTATATTTGTCTCTAAATCTCTCCTAAACTTCCGCACAAATCCCACACTCGGACTTGGGCTCTACAGATTCTATAATAGAATCCTAACTCAGATCCTTAGTTCTCAACCAGTACAGCCAGGCAAATTCACAAACCTCCTGCCAAAACCTCACTACCCAAAATACCTAGAACGGAAACAACCTCAGTTTCTCCCTTCTCCTTTCAATTTCGAAACGGTTCTCAATCCACTAAATGGTTCAGCAACTTTGCAAGAATCGGCTCTTTTCGGCCTGGAATGCGCACCTCACACAACTCCCCCTGCGTGCATGGTGAATTAGATGTTAGCTTTGAAAGGTGCCTTTGTGGTTACGTGGTTGTGGATGATTTGATTTCTTACGCCATAAGTTACTTAGACTTCCTTAATCAAGGGACTGTTTATGAAAGGGTTAAGTCCATAAAATGTTCTTTTCTTTGCCCTGGAGCCAAGGACTTTTGACTTATGTCAAATGCCAATTTTAAGATAAATTAAAAGCAATGAAGGAAATTGATTCATCAGAATTTCTTGAACAATAGGAAAAGTAAAGTAAATATGAAAGATATTAAGTGATAACTTGGAATGGAAACTCACAGCAAAAAATTAGAAATGAATTGAAAATGACAATACAAAGTATGTAAAAGCAATAATTGATATAGTAAAGCACAAATATAAAAGTTCGGACATAGTTTCAACCTCGTTAGACAAAGTTAGTTGTCTGTTGGGTTGAATGCAGCAAAGCTAAAACTACAAAGGTGGTGACTTTGGCTGTAAAAGGAATGCGAAGAAAGTGACAGAGCTATTCAGAGTCTTTTTTTAGAGTTGAGTTGAGTGTCATTTCTTTTTGTTCTTATGTGGCTTTTATAAAGCTTATTTTCTTGTGAATTAAGCATTCCGTCTCTGATACATCTCTCCTCACATCAAGTTGTTGAAGTGACTTGCTAGGTAAGGGGTGAGTTCACACTTGATCTTCTTGAATTTACGGGGTTTTTCCATTGAAAAGAGTTTTTCCCATGCAAAACCCTTTTCCAAATTCCCCCTAGTCTGTAGGTTTAACACTCATAGCTACCACTTCACAATCATATTTAAAAATTGGTTTGGTTATTGTTCACAAGCTTCAAATTAAACACCCATTAAGCATTCAACGGTTTCAAGAGCGTATTAGGCCGCGATGCAAGACCAGTGTTTAATTTTGGTCCAAACAATGCCCCCTTTAAACATGATTAAACCGTTAGCACGCCCGCTTTAATTGTGTTTAAACCTTTTGATTCCCCCCTTCAAAACTATGCTTTAGCACCATTAACGACTGTTGTAACTTTAAACTGTTCCACTAACCCATAAAACTCTAACGACACGATGATATAAAAGGAAAAACTAGTGGGTTTTAACTTTGCCTTTGCTTCTGAGTACTTCTGAACTTTAAGAATTTTCCAGACTTCAAGTTTTTTACTTCCTTAGACATTTCATCATTTTCAATGGTTTTTTCCTCTCAACCTCGTCATGTATTTGGCGAAGGAATCACCAACCTTCGTTATCGCACTGGTCTCTTATTCCAAACCCTGCCAAACCTTCACCAAGAAGTGTTCTTCCAACAAGGTCAAGTCTATCGATATTTCCTCAAATTTGCTTATCAATATTTCTACTGATACCGATATTTTAAATATTGATTGCCTCTAAGCGTAAAAGCTCGTCTACGTATTGCTCCATACAATCTTGGCTTGTTTCAACCTTCAAGGATAATCATTAAGTTATGCACTTTATGTTAAGTTGGATTGTTGTTTTTCTTTATTTTCAAAATGATGAGTATTTTACATCTCAAGTCTAACGAATTTGCTCAATATCATCTTTTATAATCAAATCGAGTCAATATGTCACTTAGTACTATGATCTAGTGTTATTATTTTTTATTTGTAAGTAAGAGGTCTTAGGTTTGATACTCGCCAAAGGCGAATTTGAACCACTTTCTTACTAATCCATTGCGAGTCTTAGCCCACCCCAGCACTCCCTTAGTATAGATAATATCATTTGTTCAGAATCCAATCAATTTGGACTAACTCAAGTTGTAGGGCATTGTACTTTCCTTTATGCACTCAAGTTTGAATATTTATTTTCATAATTTAAATAAACAGTATTTTAGTCAAAAATCAATAAAAACTCTACTATTAAGCCATATATCACTAACATATATATATATATATATATATATTTATATATATTTACCTAATCAATGATATATTTGTATTAATTAGGAATAGGTCAATGATGAATGTGAAATTGATACCAGGTAAAATATCCTGTAAATAAAAATTATAATCCGCTGGACTGACTAGTCAAACCCATTAGTCAACTAAGATAGATTTGTTAGTCAATAAATTGAAGATTCAATTACCAATTTCTATTCCCACAAACTATCATAGTCAACAAGGCTTGCAATTCGTTGCAAGTTATTAATGTGTCAAGTGGGCAGGATTGTGAGCACATACCATTTAAATGTTCAACATATATATTTGAGATGTGTGACATAATAACAATAACTTGAACACAAGATATTTTTGGTCGGAAAAAAAAACCCGCCTCTGGGTTAAAAAACTAGGGACTCTCCACTGAGTCCAATCCATTAGTGTAAACAAATGTTCATACAAAGATCACACAAGCTTAATTCCTAGAACCCTAGCTATGAAGCAATTTTACCTTCGTGCAACCTTGCCTTACATGAGATGGACTCATTCGGTCTTCATGAAGTGGTAACTCCTCTTGAGCTCATCACCTTGAGGAATCGAGGTCAACACGATTAATGATGTGATATGATTTTATGATATGCACATGAAATCTGGATTCAACTAACCAGTCAGATTCTCCAGTCAAATTGTTGAAGGAAAAATCTAACTTGAATCCAAAGCTTGGTCTAAAACCGAATTTAAAGCTTAAAACCAGACCAAGACTTTAATGCAAAACCTTAAAGCAATGCAATGCTAATAGAAAATGATTGGGTGTTTAATGCATGAGGAAGGTTTGGCAGTTAGGGCTTCATAAATGGGAAAGATGCAAGCTCAAAGCCTTTAAGGAAACTTTCTCTCTCTAAAACTAAGTTCTAAACCCCCAAGAACAAAATAAAACTCTAGGGAACAAATATACCCAAGGAAATCTGATTTTCCATTAGCCAACTTGTCCCAATAACACTTGTCGACTGCAAAAGAAATCTAGGCAGATTAATGGCCAGAAACTGACTACCATCAGTAAGGTCTCAGCCAGCTCATGTAGGCTGTCTTAATTTGTGTACCTACATAGCTGGAAGTCAGCACGCAAAACTAACTAGACAATTAACCTAGACATAATGCAACACAAATAGAGATATGAGATGCATATGCATGAACAAACCTTTGGTGTGAGGTGAGCCACATACTTGAATGTTTAATCCCAATAGCAGCATCCCATAATTAGATAATGTAGTCTAAAACTAAATTGAGCATGTTGTACACAAATACAATATTTGACAAGGAAAGCCAAACACTTAAGACTACACTTTACAAAATGCCACATAGGCTTTAAGTCATTATAAATAGTTAGAATTTGACTCTTCTTCATTCTCTCTTTCTATGAATGCTATATGGGTTGTAAGCTATTATGAATGGGGATTTAGATCCTCTTTGGATCAATTTTGTGAGATCCTTCAGACTGATGAATCTCATCCATTAATACAAATACAACAACCAAAATCTCTTATGCTTCCTCTCTTCCCCTTAACTATTTTATTTCTCACTCACTTCAAAGCTCTCAACCTTGAACCATCAGCCCTTCAAATTCAAGATCAAATTTAACCTCACGCAAAAAACCAGCACCGCCACAACCCACCTAACCCACAATCCATAATTGTAGGTCCTTCACCTTACTTTCGCCCAAATCAGCCACAACACCACCACATCCCTAAATTGCAAATCCCTCAACCTTAAAATCTCAGCCGATGTTAAGGAAACAACAAAAAAAAGGGTCATGCGAACCAGTGTCTTTTGGTTGCAGAGATCTTTTTCATAACTATGGAAGAATTATAGAGAGACAAAGTTACAGTAGAGAGATAAATCTCAAACATGAAGAAGAAAGAAATGACAAATAAAAAATTAAAATAGTAAAAGAGAGCAAAATATTAATAAATCAAACTTATAGCACATATGATCTGCAATTTTGGGGTTTGTTAACAGCGGTGAGGTGTGGCGGTGTGAGGAAGAAAAATGAGCCAAGGGGGAAGATATTTTGGCCGTTGGATTTCTATCCTTATGAAATTGATTCGGAGAGGATATAAACTCCATAAATAGTTAGAACATGAAGATTCTATCACTCACTCTCTCTCTCTCTCTCACTCTTCGTTTACATGGAGGAGTCTGCTCAAC